TAATTATTAAATAGAAAAAAAAGTACGTATTAATTCTTATCTTTAAAATAAATTGAGGTTTTAATCTTAAATTATTTTATTTTATTTTATTAAAATTCAATTCAAAATTTAAAAATTTATTTTTGTTAAATATAATATTTAGATTTAAAAACTGATTATATTAAAATATTTAATCAATTTTTAAATTTAAGTATCAATATTTAATAAGATAAATTTTTAATTTTAAATTGACATTTTAACTTTCAAATATAATTTCAAATATAAATTAAAACTTTAATTTATTTAAAATCAAAATCGATACGTATTAATTTTTATTAAATATATTAAATATATTTAATATATTCTTAAAATATTAAAAGATTAAAAAACTCACACCTATAATTACAGACTATATTGTTAAGCCTAGTGCATATATATGACCTTTTTGTTTGTATTGTAAGTGTTTTGCCCCAAAATTAATACCTTTCGACTCAACGATTGTTGTAGCGTAGTTTTAGATGTCAAATCCATAGACAAGTTATATTAAACCAACAAAAAAAGTTGTCACAATAAAAAAAATTAAGTTAAAAGATGATTTCTAAAATTAAGAATAAAAATATTGAAATAAAATATGATAATTATAGAGAATTGAAAACAATATTATGATAAATAAGACTTCATGGTTCACTTAATTAATTTGTTCCACTATTATAAATTTTGATTTCTATTTATTAGTAAAGTGCATGTTTCACATCCTAAACAAACAATCAAAAGTTTTATCTTTGAAGACCAATAATAATAACTAATGTATTTATTTTGAGAAAAAATAATTTTAATAAAAAACAAACTGATTTAGTCTTACAAGCCATCCAAAAGCAACAATACTGCAGTAAAGGATCAACTCATAAAACAAATCTACCAATCAATTATATTCTTACAAATTATACATAAAAAGAGTATGACTAATTTTATATGAAATTTGATGAATATAATTTTTAGGGTTTTCAAATCTAAAAATAACTAATAATCCCTCAAAATAAAGTTAAACAATAAAATCTATGAAGGAATCAGAATAAAATAACAAGTCAAACTCATCAATCATGATCCTCCTTAACCTTGTTAAAAGGTTAGTTATACTTTGACATAATTTTCTAATCCTAGATAAGAAGAAAATAAGTGCCTAAGAATGGCTTCTCTAGATGCTAAACTTAATTTTAAAAGCTCATATTTATATTGGAAATAAAATAAGAGTGTTTGGTAACTAGGATAGTAACCCTAGGCAATTAAGTTTAATTTTTTCTTTTTTCTCGCACAATCTTGTCAAACAGAAGTTGGAACCTCAAGTCAAGGTGCGGAACCCTCTTGCTACTGTCCATCCTTTTGCACTGGTCAAGGGTTGTAACCTAAAAACAGGTTCTGACAACTTGTTATCACCTCACGTTTACCAACTTTGTTTCTCAATCAAAAATAAAGAAAATCCCACTTGAGCCTTGAAACTTTCAAATTTGTTCCTTGGACCCTTATCTTCTTGGCTCTTTGCATGTAACTCCTTTTCTTCTAACTCTGTCTATTTAATTATCAAACCTTCTATCATAAAAAATTTGCACAATATGAATAAAATAAACATTTATGAAATTAATTGTAAAAAAAATACAATTCTTAAGCCTATAATTCAATAAATATCAAAGATTAAGCACATTTTAAATATATATTTTCATACTTACATCTATAAGTGAAATATGGATAGAACGGATGTCCGACTCTTAAGCATACATATACATGTACAACAGCAGATTTGATTAATGAGTACTGAGCGACTCTTGACCATACATACACATGTACCAAAGACCAATTAAGCAATGTAGTTTTCTATTCACCTTTATTGATTAAAATTTTATTTTATTTGAAAGTTCAATGGAGAGATAATGTTTCTTAAATTTTTTAGTCTTAATTTGGATCAATTCGTCTTTGACCAAATTAGAGAGCAGGATTAGAGCTAAAACTTAATGTTAGGGATGAGCTACTGTTCGGATTCATGTATATGTACATTGAAAATGAATTTAGTAAAAATTATGATTTTGAATGAGATGGAAAATCATTTTTATGAAATCAAAATTAGATGTCATATATATAGAGAGAGAGAAACTGCCTAAAATCATACTCTTGCATGTATTTAAATTTCAATTCCAAACAAAATTACAATTTACAAAATATTAATTAATATGTTCTATATAATAACACTAAGATATTTTTAAAAATTAATTAGCATATACCAAATTCCTTATCAATCTTACACTTCAACTTTTAGTTGGAGGACAATATGACACAAATCTTTTAAATTAAGTAGCACCACAATAGCCACATCAACCAAACATAAATATTTTAAAATTTAAAAAATTTATCCCTCCTATTCCCTTCATTTCCCTTAAACCAAATATATTATATGTGATCTTTCTGCACCTCATCATAACAAAATTTATCATTTAATTCACTATAACCGTAAAAAAAATTATTATTTAAGTTAACTGTCAAAAGGCAAAGAAAAATTGTCATTCTATTAAACTTTATCTTTGAAAATTAAACAAGTGAAACTTAAAAACCTATGAGAGCTATTTAATTTTTTTCTTAGATTTAGGGTGCCATATGAAAATATTTTAAAAGTTGAGGGGAGCACCGTTCTCTCCACCTTTGCATAAGAGATTAATGTTGAAATGTGGGTAAATTAACCAAAGATATCCTAATTGTTAAAAAAAAATTTTAAAATAAAAATTTACCTGAGTAGCTTTTTTTAAGCATTGTTCTATAGCAAACAATGCCTAATTTAAATTGGAGTGACCAACAATTAATTTGAAATATTTTATAATTCAATCGAATGTCTTAATCAAAAGTTTTGATCAATAATAATTTTTTATGATATATGAATAACAATTTAAAATTTTTATTTATATATAGTTTTTATTGAATAGTTTTATCTGATTAATTTTTTTAATCTTCATTTGTATGTTATATAAAAATATTTCCTAAAATTATATATGTAAATAAATAAATCCAAGGAGTAGAAAATTTAAATTTGAATGAATGGAGCCTGTAGGTTTTAAAAGCGATTGACTAAAACAAAGAATGGCATAAAATTCGGTGTGTAAAATGTGCTAACCTAAGTTATAAGTCAAGGCATAAATCATCTATTTTGTGCTTCACAGTTTTGACCTCTGTATATGGTCTGTCCTTCTTCCTTAAGAATATGCTATTCCCTGGCTGGCAGCAGAGAATATGGTTTGAATATTGATACTGTACTTCGGCACTATATATGTGATATGTTGATTTTTGTTTGTTTGTCTTTTATTTTTTTAATGGTTAAGATATTTTTAAACCAATTTGTCCATAAATGTACAAAATTTTCATCGTGCAATTTTAAAAGTACAAAACATAAAATGAACTTTAAAAGTTCAAATTCACTTATAAATAGATGTTGTTTTATAATTCAAATTCAAGATTTAAATCTTAAAATCATTAGTTAAAAAAATTAATCTTTTTAAGGGTATTAAATTGATATAAAAATATACACAAAAAGTGATTAATTTTGAAATACATAAAAATTGATTAAAAATACTTTAATAGTTATTATAAAATAAAAAAAGGACACATTTAAAAGATTATTTTTTCTGAGTGCAATTAAATTATGAATCCAAAACTTAATTTACCTACAATAATTTACTGACAGATGCAGGCCTTGGCATGTATGTGGAGTAAAATTCTGGCAGCATGCTTCGGTACACCAGCTGATGATGCCCGGTATTGGCGTTGTTGTTCCTTTACCCTTGCAAAGTCTCAAGTGGCGAGCTGCTTTAGTCACCAGTCACCACCGCTGCCAACGCATCCAGTCCAACAATTAACATTTTTGGTTCAGCCTAATTATTGTTCTAGTCCTAGAGGATTTGAAGG